CTTTCGTAAGACCTAGTGTTACCTGATGAAAGTCAACAACATAAAAACTAAATTATCTACAGAGTAAAATTTTGTGACTTGTTAACTTAAAAAAATCAAATTTGCTTTTTTTCTTGCATGTAATTTTGAACAATTTCCATCAATTTTTAAATTTTAAGTCTTTAGAACTTATACATTTTGGCTACAATTTTAAACTTTAAAACTTATACATTTTGTAATTTGCTTATTCATTTTAAAATATAGACCAGGTTAGTGAGACGGCATACTCTAACAATATAATGTTGCGGTATTTATTTGGAAAGAAGTTAAAGACAATCTTATAAAATTTAGCAGTTAATTAAAGCGATTCTTATAAAAAGAACACACTGTGCTATTAAATCAGCATTTGACGTAAAGTGAAAAAATCAGTAACGATGCAAATATAGCTTATTACTTTTGAAAAATATATCTGATGCAAAAGTGGTGCTCTAAACCTTCAATATGTCGCTAAAAGTCATGAGATATCATTACAGTGCTTCATACTAGAAAGCTGAATTTGAAAATCTGTCAGTATGATAAATTTTAAGCTCCAGAATCAACTTTCAAAACTTAGTTCTTTAAACATTTTCCCACCTTTTATATCAGCATTTAATTTATTATATATTTTCGTTTTGTATCGTTATTCTTTCTAACTTGAATAATAGGTTTCATTCTCCTCATGCTCAGCACAGCTACGTCTGATGTTCCTAAAGGATACAATGATATTATCAGCAAGAAGTTGAATTTGATTTTATTTTCAATCCATGCATTTCGGAAATATTTTTATATCATTTTAAAGTATGACAGACTCTTGTGGAAAGGTGGTTGATGAAGCATACAGCTGATAATGGCATACAACTGACGCTTCTTTCTTCCTTAAAGATATTTAACACTTTGCGGCACAGTGTGTCCGATCTGGACACACCTAAAAATTTCCTTCTGTACGCACAGAAAATTGAATGAAAAAGGATTTATAGGTTACTGCTGGTTACTCTGAACCTTCTTTATTTATAGTAGATCGCAGCGCAACACAAACCAGTCGATATATTTTAGCCATGTTTAGTTTTTTAAGACCCTCATTTTTCAAAGAAATGTTCCAGATTTTTTTAGGGTATAAAAGGAATTGTTTGAAAAGAAAATTCTATGTTATTTTTTGGCTGTATGCTAATCTCTTTATTCTATATTAGTTTTAAATTTTTACCTTGAAATCTTGCATAAAATCAAATGACGAACTCTAGGTGTGCCCAGACAGGGCTCACCGATAATCTAGGACAACTGAGATTCTGTATTCTTTGTTTCTCCGCATCTCATCTGTCAGTTCATTGACAACAATGCTCGTTTCAGCACTTATCGTTTTAATTCTGTGGGTGTGCCACTTTGGGCACACCCACAGAATTAAAACGATAAGTGCTATCTTCACAAAATTTTACTTGTGTACTCCTCTAGGCTTAATTAGACTGCCTACATTTTTTTTAAAATCAAAATTCCGACTTTAAAATGTAGCGTGCCGGAAAGGGTTAATAAAGTTCGGGATCTTCAGTTAAAAGACTTGTAGTACGTCTTCAAATAAAGTAGCTGGAACTTTTTTTTTTCATTTAAATTCATAAAAAAACTTAAGGTTTGTCTGGTAATTTAAAAAAAGGAAAGGGAAACAATTTAAGGCCTGAGAGTTAAATTTTAGATTCGACGTTGTTTTTACTGCTAAGGACGTTTTTGAAAAACTTGCCTAAAGTTCAAACACACCAAAAAAAAATAAACTTATCTTGAGTGGACATCTTGAAGTGGAGGACTCGTATCCTAACAAGCGTTGACGTCGGCCGGGCTCATCTTTACACTGGTTCTAAAAATGTCGACGCCAATTCCCACTGTAGAACAGAAACAGGAGCACGGCTGCCCAGGACGGCTATCCGCTTGGTCCTGAAAGTCCTAAGTCAACACGCAGGTAACTCGTTCAAATTTCGCCTCTTTACCAGCACGCCGCAAGGAAGAGTATTTTCAGCTTCAGGCCAGAAACGTTTTTTCTAGGCAATTACGGCTCGCCTGTTCTTACTCATCCCAAGAGCAAGCTTCACGAGTAACGTCCCAAGTCAGTTCCACCCGCCAGTCCGTAAGAGAGAGTGCCTCTTAACCAAACGCGGCCGGGGAGCATATTTGCCGCTCCCCGCCGGAAAACATCTCTCTTCGTAATTACATTTTGTCCAGCAAGCCCGTAAGTCCAGCAAGCCCGAAAGTCCAGCAAGTCCAAGAGTGAGCGAGTCAAAAAGTGAATCCAACTCGAATTTCCTTCGTCTCCTTCACAAACGCGGGCTCCCACTATGGCTTCACTTATCGCCCCCTTAATTATGGCAAAATTTTCGTTTTCAACTCCAGAATGCGGAAATAAGGGTGACCGCGCATGCGCGCCCTTCTTCACTTAGCCAACAACCGGACCCTCAATCGCCAAAAACCTGAATGACTTACATTGAAAGACAAGTAGCAACCTTTGACCTTTCTATCACGTACTTTCCTCTCTTAAGGTCAACTAACAATGAAAATTCTTTCTCGAACATTCTAAAGGACAAAGCGCGCGAAATCATGACTTTGCAAAAATTGCCTCCCTTTCCCTGCTTCTTTCACAATGAATCAAAGTTTGTACAAGATTTACAAATAGAGGAAAATAAATAATATTCTTTTAAACTAAATAATATTCCCAGAAGCATCTGTTTTTCCCCAAAATTAAAGCCTTAAAATAAATAATTCAGAATCAAATAAAAATTAAGATTTCCATAAATCAGAAAATCATTCACCTAGTTTTTATACCGCTATCAGACAAATTCTCTACACAACACTTTATGAGCAGCTGATTTCTAGAATTGAAACAAGAAAGATAATACTAACTATATAGTTGCACCTTATGGGAGTCACATTATATCTAAAATGTCTTCGTAGACTTCGAACTTCCAATCCAAGTTCTAAAAACAAGAAGTCAAATCTAAAGCAGGAAAGCATTTCCAGATCAGTAATTTACCATTTCTAAATTTGACGGTGCTTGTAACACACTCTCGCAAACGCCATTACCCTGTATCTGAGAGAATATGGCACTCCCATTAGATCACCAGTCTGTACCATCATTCACTGTGTTGTATAATGATTTAATCGAGGTTCAATACAATGCTGTCTTATACTGGTCCAAACGATGCCAGGCACTGATAGATGAACAGTAAGAGCAGCACAATCAAAAAATCCTGCTGCCTTGAATTTCCCATCAGATAATTATATTTATATCTTTTGTTCGGCACTAAATGACTTGAGCTAAGCTGAAAATTATTTACAATTATGCAGCAAGAATTTTGTTCGACATCTTCAGCATTCACTGTCTTGATGTATCAAGTCTTTGAGCGTGGTAAAATGATGGACTGACTCAGTGCTTCTCCTTTATAAAAGCTTGCGTACACAAGGTAAGGATAAATTCAGTTGCGTGGAAATATGTCTAATCGAATGATCAAATTGTGGAATCCATATATTCCCATCTCCTTTTAAAGCAATGAAATCTTTTGTTCATATTTAATTCTCGCAAAGGACATCTGTAGCATTAAAGGATATGTGGATGTGTTGTGCTCCAGAGTATCCTGGAGCTGGACTAAAGCTGGTGTACCTTGCTCAATGACAACATCTTACAGGCTTAATCTAAGCAGCAATAGATGATAAAGAATTTTTAGTTGCTTAGTCACTCCTTTTAAGCAACTAAAGTTGCATTTAGTTGCTTAAAAGGAGTGACTGTTAACATTTTGGGTGTATTAAGTTATGTCTTCGCTTTTACAGCGTTGAGTGTCATGTAACCACAGCATATAGGCCTATCTTTTCTATAGCATATATCGATGAATGCATGTTATAAGAACACGATGTGCTAAGGCTGTTTATTTAAATCTGAACGCATAAGTACCATTTTTACTCGCGTATTCCTTTCTCTAGCGTTTTAGCTCAAGGTTTTAGTAAAATTTTAAATGTTTACGTAATTGGTTTCATCCTTAAGATATTCAGAAAGCAAGCTTACCTAAATTTAAAAAATGGATTCGTCAACGTAATGATTGTTTTTATCTTGCTAATTAATTTGCTCGTAGATTTCGGATGCATGAGCTCTGATTTATGGAACAATAATAATGAAGAACCTCAAGAAAATGGAGATATCGAATGCTCTTGATTCTGAAAGTCTTTGAATGTGGGAAAACAGAGTAAACAATAACGAAGATGTTGACAAAGGTGACAATGCCGACGACTTGCAAGTTGTTGCAGATGGCAAGGACAACAGTTTCCAGCGGCACTAAATGATTTGAGGCTAAGGACGAGATTCAAGATAGCGGTAAAGAAGTGAAGATATTTCGTTAGATATTGTTAATATTACTGCGTAATCTTATCATAATACAGGTATCTTTTTAATTATATTGCGATAGTTTCTGGTAATTTACACATGAATACGTTTCATATGTTGTGTTTCTACAATACAACCCTACGGAAATCAAATTTTCTGCATAATTTTCCCATTTCTATTTTCATGCAATAAGATAAGTAAAAAAGGAGGCGAAATGCGCGAGGGAATATGGTACATAGAAAAAAAAAATTGGCCGGTCTAGTTTTGATAATATTTTTATGTTAGATTAACCTTGCATATTATCCTTTATCCTTTCACTGGGCGAGATACTGTTCGATTCTTCAATGGCTACATTAAGGCTATCTACATGCAAACTTTTATGTTAATAAAAGAAAGAAAGATAATAATATGTAGTAAAAGATAACTTGAAATCACATTAAATTATTTTTTAATGTTATTACTATCTCTGAATGCAATAACGATGCTCCCCATAATACATAAAAAAAGAATAACCATACAATTTAAACTAATAATATTTTTTCAGATTAATTTTTTGGATATATAAAGTTTACTTTAATATATAGCACATTTATTACATAAATCAAAAAGAAAGTACCAAAAAAAATCCACATACCCGCCTTCCAGCTGTCTTCTTCAGCATCGCCAAAGTTTTTTAAGCACTTTTTCAGAACCTGTGAGTGAAAAAATACATGTTTTAATATTCATAAATATCTGTTGGTAACTCACCAGCCTGCTGCCTTGCACATCCACAAATTTGAGTGTTGCGTGAGAGAGCAAATCCGTTTCGTGCGTGAAAAGTAAAAACTTTCGTATTTACACTTTTTTTTTATTTCCTTTAGCATTTTATACTCCCCCGTACCCTTCTGTTTTTAGGAGTGTTTCTTTTTACTACACATTTCTGGGCGAGTTAATGTTTTTTGCATGTAAAACAGGTCTAAAAATAAAAAAGGATGAATCCACACTGTGTAAAAAGGTTTACATTTTTTTACTCCCCTTTAAAAAAATTCGTCATTAAGTAATTTTCATTCTTACATATATCTCATAAATTTAGATTAAATGCAATTAATTTAGCCTTTGGCAAAATTAAAAAAATGAATTAATAATTTTTTAATGCCCGGTTTTTTTTTTCACTTCCCTCTTTTCCTATTAATTTTTTTCTTTCCTTTCCACTGCAGATTTTTTTTTTTTTTTTTTTTTTTTTTTTTTTTTTTTTTTTTTTTGGCTCTTTGAAAGTAAGTTCTTTTATAACCGTGTATAAACTTTTATCTTGTAATGGTTCTAATACGACAGAAGAAGCAATGTAAATACTTAATTTTAAATGGATAACAAATTCGTGCCTCGTGTTTTCAAGCGTACTTATGAAGGGACGTCTTAAGTGCTGAGGATGATTTTTATGAACTTTCTGCCTAATTTTTTTTAATTTTATGGAAGGTCTTTCTCTCTTTGTGAGTTGCATTAGCTCAATTTTTAAGTTATGGATCAAAGAGATGTCATGCTTGAAGGCTAGTAATGGTTATACGATAACTGCAAAACGAATGTTTCAGAAACTTGTCTTTAATGGTAGTTATTTTAATGCATTTGTTTCAAAATGTGTTTAAGTTTGTGTCAAGGAAACAAATATCACAGCCGAGACAAGAATGAGACAAGTGAGACTTTCCAAATTAAAAAACTAGAAGGCCAAATTAATATTTAAACATGAATTATTTTATTTTCTCATTTGTATTTCATTATATATATATATATATTAATGAAATACAATATATATATATATATATATTATCGGTATATATATATGTATATATATCATGTTAATTACGTGGTTATCTTTAATACCTAGGGAGCGTTTAAAAAGAATTTTGCATTTTAAACAATGCAGTAAAAGTAAGAGAATAATTAATAACATAGTGTACTCATAAAAGTGCATGATTTCACTGTACTGCATATATTGTTTTCTAATATTAAAACACAGCATTGAAACTAAAATAATATAATAAATACGCACAGTCGGTATGTAAAAGTCTCAAAGTTTGGAAATTACGCATAGCAGTCATCTATCACTTTTATTCTCAAGACTGATATTTTATGAAGCTTATTATAATTACTTCGGTTACCTTACTTACGGATTTCTCAATCTATTCTTAGCAACAAAAGAGAGATTTAAAGGCACTATGATTCTTCTTATCAGCAGATACCCAATCTTAGTAAGTAGACAGTAAGTAAGTATAGACAGGTTCGTCCATCTCATTAATTGTAAGGATCATCATTTATATAATTTTTAAATAATAAGACAATGATTATCTATTTCTAATAGCCTCTAGTTGCTGAAAAAAATTATATTAACTAGTTTTTTTAATACCAGTGTAAAATTAAATTAATTGTAATTAAATGTATTTTAAAAACATAAGTATATCGGCGGGGACAAAAATAAGGTGATCATTCTAATTTATAAAAGTAATCCCCTACTTGAAAAGAGTTTGAGAGACTCTCAAACTTTTTTCGAGTAAGGAAGTTTCTGGGCTGAAGGCTGTTCATAAAGAGACTTGTATTCAAAACATAAGTAGCTCTGAAACAAATTTGTATGGTATCGCATAAGCAACTAATTCAAATCCTGTATTTCTTTAACTGAATCGAAGCAAATTTTTCATCCAGCACTAAAATGTAATCCTGATACTATAGCATCTACTCCATCCTTCCCAGAACCAATCAGTACTTTCCACTTAATGTTAGCTTATCGTCTTATCTCTAAACTGTTACAGCCGGTAAGATGTATATTGATGGAACACTGGATTAGTGTCAAATTTCAATGGTATAGTACCAGCGTAGCCAAACCACTGGAAAGCCACATGTGGCTCTTTGAAACTTTAATACGACTCATGTTTTAATAAACAACAGTTTATTTCTTTTTTTCTCAATATATCATTTTAGACTGAAACAGAAATTTGCAACAATACACTTTTTAAAAAACAGTTATTTCATTTTTTGAATTCTGTCATACACATAGTAAATTTAAACAATTTTATGTTATATATTTAGTAGTTTAAAAAATGTTTTGTATATAAGTAAATTTTAAAAAATTTTAAAGCGTGCGCAAATTCTGTGACTAGCTATCATGTCGTATTATTTTTGAGAAAGGTAAAAACTAACAGAAAGCTAGGAAGAAACAGAAAAGCAGTTACATTCGAAAATACCGCGCGTTAATAATGAACTTCAATGAATGATTATTGAATGAAATGAAATGAAACAAATTTATGAATGCAATTACAAGTGCTTTTAGTCGTAATTTGCATTGAAACAAACAAATCTCACCTGATGATCCAGTTAACTTCTAGTGAATTGATTAAATAATTTAGGGTTATTTTTTCCTCCAGATGATGATCACTGCATTAGTTAAAATAAGAACTAAACTATTATTTTTTTGCATAAACCCTGCTAAATGGAATGTTTGTTTAAAAAAAATATGTAAATTTTAATTGCATTCTCTCCACAGAACTCTCTGTCTAGTTTCACTTATTTCAGAAGCTTAATGCCGATGCATCTTTTCTCCATTCATCTTCCGCTCAAAATCGTACTTATTGTTTGTTGCTCTTCCCTATCAATTCCTTCTTTTGCGATGCTTCCTCTTTTCAAAAAGTACTTTCTGCGACAGAGATTACCCAGGTTCATCAATTAACGTTTCGGAGAGCTGGACTTTGCTATTTTTTGCTGGCATAGCATTTTATTTCTAATATTTAAGAATTATTTTCTTTCACCAATTTATTTTACGAATTTCTTTTTAATATATTATGATGTACCTTCAAATATTAGCGCTGAATACCCAGGTTTGGTTTCAGTAAGGTCAAGTTTCAATTAACTCATGATCACATTATAAAAACATACAGGAAAATGTAAAGAGACAAATTTAGAATAATGACACGCGACTTTTGCCCGTAGAGTGGTGCCATTGCTCGCTTTTAAATCGTTGAGTTTGTTAATCAAAAATTCGTCAAAATTTTACAAAGCATAAAATAGATAATAAAACAAATTCCAAATTTAAAATTCGTTCTTCCAAGATACCCGTATTCGGGTCGAAAAGTACGTTATTCAAAAGTAGATAGCTCTAGGTACCATTGTTTTATCACAATGTGAGAAACATATATATATTTATGCAGATTCTTCATTATTTCATTTCTTCAAATATAATTTAGGGCGATAATTTTTGGGGGCAACAGTTTGAAAAGTGAAACGGACATTCAGAGTGATTCGAAGCAAAATCGCAAAACGAAAACAATAGTCCCTCAGAGACAAAACCCTTTTGGATTAAAAATTAAAATATTTAAATTTAATTTAAAATTCAATAAATATAAAGATATAAATAAAAACGTAATCAATTATTAAGTTAATAAATAAAATATCATCGTATTTGGTACATCCATTAGACTTACCAACTTCATACACAAACTAAAAAGTAGCTCAACTAGTCTCTGACTGAATTTAGATCTTAAATATACAGTATAACATTCTATATCAGTGGGGAGGGGGCCCTATTTTTTTCCAGAACACCAGTAGGAAAAAGTAAAACGATTAAAGCATCACTAATGAAAATAGAGAGAATGCTAGGAACAGCATGAGTGTATGGAAATAAATTTTAATATACCCTAGAGAATAATCCTTTGACATGTTAATGAGAGCTTTTCTTTCCTTAAGAGTCTTAACTTCAGTCAAAGTTTTGTTCCCCAGAGAAAGACACGCATGAATTCGGAAGTTATAATCGATTTTTAAAGGTATATTTATTTCTAAAATAAAATTTGACTTCTGAAACTGTGTTTCATTTGTATAATAAAAATACAGGAGCCCTTTTATTTGGGGCTCCAGTGCGCTCCAGCTAGAATTACGATTTACCTCAGAAACTAAGAAGTACCGGCGCAGTTTAAGCTCTGAACACAAGTCTATCAAAAATTCGAAATAATATTGAGACTAGGAAAGATGCCCACAGAATTACACAAAACATGAACAAAAGTAAAGCTAACGAAATATATGAAGCTACTACGCTGAAATTAATTGGGAATGTTAAGCGTAATTCCTGGAAAATGTTTTCATCTATTATTTCTAATATGTTTTCATCTGTTATTTTACTGCAGCATTCTTATAGTAACCGTGTACTGTGTGTTTTAAGCTATTCTAAATCTTAAAGCTTTAAAATTTCTAGTTTACTTTTTGACGATTTTCTTTTTAAGACAATCGAAAGCATTTAAATGTTTTTAATTATGTGAAAATATTTTACAATAAATAGCCTCAAAAACCTTACTCAGTGAAATAAGTACTTCAGAAACAGCTGAGAGCGTCTCGTGAAAGTGATAAGATACTTTTGGGTTTCTTTAAGATAATCTTGATCACGATTAAAATTAATCATTTGCATTTGATATTTAAAGGTATGGTAGATTTTTTATACATTTTATAAAATTAATAAAGTATAAATTGAAAATAAATAAGCATAGAAATCAAAGTAATATTCATTACAGTAATCGGACACTTAGTATTAAAGTATATTAACTTGAATTGCTGTCTGTATTAAAAATAAAGTTTATGTTTTCAGGTATGTATTCACTTAGTTTATGTGTATATATATATGCAATAAAACTGCTCCATTACTGTGATAAGACTGCGTTATTATTGTAATAAGATGACTTGGTAG